AAATGGAGGAGTCACACTTCCAACATTATCAGGGCATCAGGAGAAAATACCAAGTGAAAAAGCTTTAAATTGTGTAATTACAAATTTCTTTTTCATTTAAATGCTTCATGTCATACGATACAGGGAGCACTACCAGAGAAATCTCATAAAATGTAATAAAATAGTCTATTGGAATTGTTGAATGTTCCTGGTTGCAACTTTCTGTCAAGATACAATTTTTCTTTTAATCATTACACGAGATCTTAACCAGCCAACATATAAATACATTCAGACTTCATCAGTGTGTCCATTACCATGATCTTGCTGTTTGATTTTACTGGGGAAAGTCTTACATATTTCCTTATCATATGTAAAAAGGATTTAAGTGAACTTACCAATTAACCTTTTTTCCTTTAATTTTTTTCAACATAATGGAAGCCTTCAAAAGCTTAATTTTTAAGAGAACACCTAATTCTTAAGGACAAACTGGTTTTGAAATTCAAAGGTCTTTCCAGCAAAAGGTACTAACATGAACTAATGTTTTATAAGCCCTTTATAAAGAAAGACTACTTGCCTACAGAACTTTCATTGTTTTTCATGAAAAAATAAAAACAAGGTCTGAATTTATATGAATGAATGTTTCTATAAGTAATTAATTAATGTTCATTTAAATTTGTTGTGGCTGAAATTAGAGTGTACCTTATGATTTTGCATCAACTGACTGTTACTGTTTCTTCTAGTTTTAGCTTAGAACTAAGGAGAATGAATGAGCAACATCAAATTAATAAAAATTTACTGTATGAAACTTTTATGAAAAAGCTTATAGAGTCTATAATTACATCAGTTAGAAGAGAATATTGTTTTTCTAACAGGGCACTCAATAATAGCAATAGATTTCAGAGCTGGTAAAAAATTATGCAGATGTATTAGGGAAGCAAAAGTTTAGCTTTGAAATGACAGTTGGATTATCATTTGCAAATCATTATGTTTCAACAGAGACTACCTTGTTAGGGTCCTTGCAGTAGCAAAAAAGCTTTGATTGTATTTTCTAGTAGTGTTTTCAAATCTCCAATCTCACACCAGTTTGGTTTCAGACCTGTTGGTACAAGAAGTCATCGGCGATGGGCTTTTTCTTTGCTTAAAGTGTTGCTGAAAAAGATAAACAGAGGAATTAGGAAAATATTAGCTTCCATTCCCTTATGTAGTAAAAAAGTGAGCACAGTCCGAAATCTTAAGATCTGGAACTACATGCACAACAGTTACTAAATAATCTTCGAGCAACATTTTTATCTTCTGTTTCTACCTTCCACTGGTTTCAAGTTGAGATATTCTCAAGTCTCATTCAACGCACTGGGACTTCAAAATATTTAAGAACAAACTGCAGTCCCCTTCCAGGATTTCTTCTGTATTTGGCAAGAAGATGATCTTGCCTGTTGCCTTAACATTTGGTTACCTTGATTTTTTTCCTGCAATGTAGTTTAGGTGGAATTGCATTTAAAGCAAAAGAAAAAAATCAATAATGAAGAGCATTGTGGTAAATGGGAGGACACAAGCTTAGTACTTTGTGTACCCAATGATGAAAAATGAAACACCATCTGCATTTAGTGGCAATACCTATAAAGTTCTGAATATAATTCTGTAAGCCCCATTTGGGATGCAGATCAGATAGACTGGTTTAGGTTGGTTCCTGAAGAAGTAATTTGCATGAATTATCCAATGCAAAAACTGATTTCTGCCTACTCCGTCTGCACTTCCATTTTAGTTTAGCAGTCTGGTTCGACACATTGCTGTTCACAGATTGTCAGTTCACTGACCTAGAGCCCTTGGCATTCCCGTGTGGATCAGACCTCACAGATTTAAACAAACAAACAAAAATAAACAAAATCCCCCAAAACTTAATGAACAAAAGAAACCCAAACCCCAAGTGTTCCAGATAATGTTACACATTAGCACTCGTGGCCTACCATTTCCTGTAGGGCTCTAATTTCTGTCACGTTTGCCCAGTACTGTGACTAGTGGCAGTCTATAATTCAAAGAAAACAATCAGTGAGTGAGTTCTCAGCAATTAGCAGTTTAAACTCTCACTAGATCCTCAGATTAATTGCTGAAATCCAATGCCACATGCGCAGGATAAGAATTGTGTGGCTTTCTGTTTGTTGTCTGTGAAAGTCTAAGTGTCAATTTGGTAATATCTGTGAATAACCAAACATCCACTGAAGCATTTGCACAGAGCATAAATGCTGTACTTTGTTTCTTTTCACAGGATAATTGAAGCTATCTGCATAGGCTGGTTCACTGCAGAATGCATTGTGAGGTTCATCGTCTCCAAAAACAAGTGTGAGTTTGTCAGAAGACCTCTCAACATCATTGATTTGCTGGCAATTACTCCTTACTACATCTCTGTTCTAATGACAGTTTTCACAGGGGAAAATTCACAGCTTCAGAGGGCTGGAGTCACTCTGAGGGTCTTAAGAATGATGAGGATTTTTTGGGTGATTAAACTGGCCCGTCATTTCATTGGCCTCCAAACACTTGGTCTGACTCTGAAGCGTTGTTACAGAGAGATGGTGATGCTACTTGTCTTTATCTGTGTTGCTATGGCAATTTTCAGTGCACTTTCCCAGCTTCTTGAAAATGGGCTGGACTTGGGAACAAAGAATAAGGATTATGCCAGCATTCCTGCTGCTTGTTGGTGGGTGATCATCTCAATGACCACAGTTGGTTATGGTGACATGTGCCCCATCACTGTACCAGGAAGGATTCTTGGAGGAATTTGTGTGGTTAGTGGCATCGTTTTATTAGCCTTGCCGATCACTTTCATTTATCACAGCTTTGTGCAGTGTTACCATGAGCTCAAGTTCCGATCTGCTAGGTACAGTAGAAGCCTCTCTGCTGAGTTCTTAAATTGACCAAACTTGCATTCTGTTGTAGTTACTTGCTAAGCTTTGTCTTAGAAGAGAAAGGTGGAAGGTCCCTTCATGTGTCCTCCTTGACTGGATGGTCCTGTGGAACAACATTCTCGCCAGCCTGGAGAAAGCCCGTCACCATTCAGACAGGAAGGATGGCCTTGGGCACCTTGCAAGGAGAGGGAGTGATGTTTCAAATTTGAGAGAACAAAATTAACAAAGAGGATTCAGAAGTCCTCAGCCAGACCAGTTTGCCTTCCCACACAAAAGCAGAACAAAAACTGGGCTTAACACTGAGATCTGTCATTCCTGTAATTATATCCTAAACCAGTCTAAGTGCTGTGTAGCAGAAGTTTTTCAAAGATTTCAATATTTGAATGCTCCACAGAGGCATTGATAACTTCTTGCCTGAAGCATCTCCACTTTTAACTCAGATAACCAAGCTATATATTGGAGAATCACTGCTACTTTTGAGCTTTGCAACAAAGTAGAGCTGGTTCTGTAACTCAGGAAAGATGAAGAATATAGGTCTGTAGGACAAAAAACATTGAGGCCTGATTCTGATCTTTGATGAAGCACACAAATCTTCTGTAAACCCATTGCTCTGAATTTGATAATTCACAAAGAAATGCAAGAAGTCCAACTCCAAATGTTGTAGCAGGGACTTTCTTAGTCACAATTAATTTCTTCTCTGGAACCAAATTGTAAGTAGAAGTAAGTGCTGTACTTTACAAAGATCAGCATAAGAAATCATGGATTGATACATATATTTGCTGGTAGCTTACTGGGGGAGCTCTCCAAATTTTACATGCATTAAGTTGAACTCCAGCCATGTGAAATTACATACTCATAAGCATAGATTTTTCTCCCCTTCCTCCTCACCCCATTTAATTAAACATAGGTATCATAATGAGAGTTCTCCAAGACAAATTATAAGATTCTATGACTTGAGAAAGCACTGGAAAACAAGAGTAGCTGCTCCCTGTCAGATGACACTCATCATTTTTAATTTCTGGAATCCTTACTGAAGGATAAGTTTTAAAATGAAAGTTTTAAAAAAAGCTGTAAAAAGCCCAGAGCATACCAAAGAAAGTAAATACGGACATGTGAGTTGCACTTGGCAAAGTGATGTATTCTCTAATGTAACTAGAAAATGAAAATGAATCAAGTAAGGTTCTAACATATTATTCACTACATTTCTTGTGTAGTGCTGCTTAATAGCATCATTCGGTATAATTCTGAAAGGCTACTACATAAAAATGTGCAGTTAGATACTAACACACATTAAGGTACAGCTTTACAAATTTGGGTACCAATAAACATCAACAGGGAGCTTTCATACTAACATGGAAGTCCAGAGTCATCAGCATAGCTGAATTCGGTGTGCTTGCCTGAAAATACCGCATTTACTATTATGTGCTGTAGAGGCATCTTTTATATATGTAATTGTTAAAAGCTTTAGAAGTAAAATGAGTACCACCTAGAAAACACATCTCTGTAATTGCTCACTCAAACAGACGTGCCCCATTGGTCAATAACCAGTACACTGAAGGCTCTACCCTGAGACCTGAAAAATCCATTATCATTTTAAGTGGTCTTTAGTAGTCTTAAAGAATTGCATTGCAAACACAATTTTTCTGAAGACCTGAAGAGAATCTTAGTAGCCTTCCTACAGACAAGTTTGACTTTCCCTTTAAGACTGCATTATTAGGAACCGTTACAGCCATAATTCTGTTCCTTGACACTCATGTGTTCTGGTGTTCAGAAGATTAGCTCTGTAGTTCCCTATACTACTCTATTTATGCCTTTTATGTCAGAATCATGTTGCTCAGAAAACAGCATTCCACAGAGAGGTGAATATGAGATCAGCAAAAATTTCTTTCTTAGGTGAGATTCACAGCTGATGTTAGTTAGGCAAGTTGTGACTTCAGAGACACTTAGATGTTCTACACCAGCAGAGATGCTGGCTCTGTATTCCTGCATGTGTACCTATATATATCCTGCATATATTATATATTATAGTCAGTCGAAATTTTTTTTCTGCTCAAAAAAATTTCCTCCTTGACAAAATTGAAATTTCAGACTTTAATCCAAACACAGCTGTTGAAGAAAATGACATTTTCATCTTCTAATGAAAAGTTATTTTGACAGTATCAAAACCATTTTCAAGGAGAAAATTGCTAATTTTTTTTGTATTCTGCTCCAATTTTTTCCCATTAAAATAGGTTAAAAATCCCATGTAAGAACTTAGCCCTAAAGATTTTCATGTGCTGTTTTTAATGCTTGGGAAAAATACTGTTTTTCATAAAACTACTTAAAACCTGCTTTCTCTTCTGTCCATGTATTGTACTTTACCAAACCAATACTTTGTCTTGAAATGAGTGTTTTAAGGTCGCTCAAAAAACCCTCCTCCACAAAACGCCCAAACCATCATCATGATGGCAATAGTTTGAAATCCATACAGAATGTGAAATGAAGTGTATTGCAATCTTGATTTCAAGCCAAAAAAAATGCATTTCAGCACTACCTATAAATCTAATCGTTAGATGCCTGAACAAAGGAAAAAATATAAATTAATGCACATAATAACTTGTGAATACCAATTTGCACCATAAATCATTTTGTATAAGCTATTAAGGACAGGAAGTTTTCAATTATCTGGACTATATATGGTATACAAACAAAATGTTCAATCCTTTTCAGCTAAAGAATCCTTTCCCAGTGTAAAAAGGTAATCCAGTGAAAGTAATCATGTAAAGGAACAGGTCCGTGTAGATTATCTTAAGTCATACTGTGTTTTTTTAAACAGTTTATGTTCAATTTTTATATGGTAAAATGTGAACAGAATGACCTAATATATTTTTTGAGTTACAATAAAATATTTTGAAACTACTCTATATAAGCCCACTAGGGAGAGATACTGGGGTGAAGCTTTTTGTTGGGTTGGTTTTTTTCCTTTCTGTTTTTATTGTTGTGTGGTTATCAGTGACTTATCAGGTTATCAGACTTTAGTTTCCTTACAAACCAAGTTGAAATAAAGTAATCTCCATGGTAGCCTTAAAACAGGCTAAATAAAATTCATGACCTCTAGCAATATATGTCATCTTATTTTCAAGGGACCAGGTTTTTTAGTGAAACTTTACAAAAAACATATATGTAGTCAAAAATAAGCGTAAACCGCTGAAACTGTTTTACTAAAATTTTACTTGAGACTGTTTGTGTAAAATACAGTCTCAAGTAAAATTTTAGTAAAACAGTTTCAGCACTATTTTGAAGTCCATCATTTCAAAGCCAAGGGAAGACAAGCTGGTTCATCTGTAATCACTGCCAGTTTGACCTATACAAGAAAAGACTTCACAGGCAGTACCTCTCTCTATCGGAAACATTCCCAGTTGGAACAAATTAGAGGAAATACAAATAGTATAAAACTAGGGATAAACAAAGACAGCTTATACAATTGTGATCCAGCATTTTGGTTCATCCAAAATGAAAACCAATACCAATGAGTTTTGAACTGCCATTGTATGGTTTGACGACATTAAAGGTTAATCATATGTTATATACTAGGTTTAAACCTTAGGACTGATTTATTTGGAACTATATATTGGCTGTAGTCATTTGAGGTACTGCATGTCACTTAAAAGTATTTGATCATTGATGAAATCACTGGAATGGAAAGCTGTCTAGGATATTTTCTTTCTATAATTCTATGTGAAACATCATGCCAGATATCACAAAGAATGGAAGATTATCATTCCCCTTGATGTAAGACTTAGAAACTGTATTGTCTTGATGAGTACCAAAAAAAAAAAAAAATTAGTTTGATTGACTGATGATTTGAAGTAGTCTTATCAACATAAGGATCAGCCATTTAAAAATGTGATATTCATTCTTACTGCACAATGGCTTATATTGCTGTGCATAGCAGAAAGTTTGAGAAAGATAAAAATCCTGTTACTGTAAAGATTTTTATCTTGATGCCCATGTATTTAAAGGAAAAGGCACTCAGTTTTAATATCATGTATGTAATTTCTGCCCATAAAGGTATTGTTATTTTGATTCAAAAAAAAAAATAAAACTAAAGTCCTTTTGGGTTCAAAACACTTGTTTATTCCCCTTTGGGTAACAGCTACAAAAATTCTACCAGATCTGAATGTATGCCAAGAAGTGGTCATATGCACACACCAGCCAGCTAAATTCAGCAGCCAAACCAGCCAGTTTCCTGGGAACCAGCATAACGAACAAGGTTTGCTGTGCTCTGAATTTTATCTCACCTAAGAGGTTCAGGATTGCGCTGATGATTAAAGTTGGATCATTTGAAGTACCTTAAAATTGTTTAAATTATTATTTCAGATGAGCTTCTAAGGAAACATTTGCTGGAAAATTAAATAAGCTGTGCATAGCAAAAAAAGATACCATTTTATTTAAAAGAAATTACTATGGTTTTAAAAAAAGAAGCTGGCTCTCATTTTCTGTTACTTGTTTGTGAAAGCAAAAATGCAAGTCAGGATATGCGATGCTAGTTGAACTTGCTACATAAAACAGATCCCTGTTTAAAATATGGAGACTTAGTGAGAAAGATCTTCCAGCTTTGCTAGAGCTGTAACAGTTTATACTAGCTGAAGAGCTGCCCCAGCACACGTGGAAGAAAGAACAAAACACTGGTTTCGTGGTAAAAAACTAACATGATTTACAGCCTGCGAAGTGCAACACAAATTAGGGAGTATCTTTTGCAGACAACAGGATAGGTTAAGCATCAAGAAGGCTCCACAGTGAGGAATCAAGACTGTCAATCTGTCAACAAATTTTAAGAGCCACTGAAGAAGGATAATATAAATATTTGGTCAAATTAATAAAATATGGATGTTTGAAACTACACATTTTAGAGTCCTTTATTCTTTACAAATGCAAACGTCTATAATTTTGTAGAACATTTATTTTATATATTGTTTGCTTATCTGTAAAGAAAAATGTATGCTGTAATTTTAAGAGGAAATAAATGTGGGGGGTTTTATGTGAATATAGAATTAGATAGATAAAATCACATAATAAAATTTGCTGGCCTTGTTGCTGTATTTCACAGACTAGTGGTCAAAACACAAATGTTTATAAAATGTGTTCTTTTTAACAAGTGAATTCCATGGCTATTTGTATTGGTACTGTACCTCGGAAAGAACTCTTTAATAGTTTTTGACTACTGAGAATCTGCCATTTAGAACCTAGGAGTTTTAATCAATATAAAATTTGAATATTTGATCCAGAAATTAGTCTGAAGCAAAAAATAAAGCTACATAGGGCTATTCTTCACCGACTGAATATCTATCATAATGTGGACTGCAGAACTGTCAAAACAAAATGAAAGAGAAGCCATACAATACATATATTATTCCTGGGGGATTATTTATAAAAACAAGTCTAGAAAAATGGATGGAATTTGCCTTCAAGTTCACTGAAACTTACTTATATTAAAAAACAAAACAAAACAAAACCCAGAACAAAAAAGCAATCAAACAAAGAAACACACAAATATCAACATAGTAATATCGTATTCATTCTGGAATGTCAACACAGCCAGAACTTTCACCAATGCAATCCTTACATTATTTTGAATGGATCTGAGACACTGTCTTGATTCTTTAAATGCAGCCATTTCAAAATACTTCCAAAAATAATCACAATTAATGTTCTTGTAAAAAAAGTTTGAATATTTTAAGAGATCACTGAATTATGAACTATACTGGCACCAGCCCGCTGCATTATTATGAAAATGAACAACTTTCCATTTAGAAATCATGAGCGTTTTTACTTCTCATATGTTATTTATTAGTTTTAGAGGTTTTACATAAAATCAATCGGAAAAGAAATGAAGCAGATGTCCACATAGTCATAGAAGTATGCTTTACAAGCATTTTTCCTAAAAGAACTTCTAAAATATTTGGAAGCAGAAGGGTTTTTTTAATGTTTTAACACAGTTACTATTTTACAAATATGCTCAGCACTTGCACCTCCTATCAATCTGAGATGCAGCTGTAAATACACAGAACCCCCCAAAATAAGTTTGATTCTTGCTGCCTTGGGGAATAGTTTGTACACTTGTTTGCTATAAGAATTTAAAAAAAGAAAAACGTAAAGGAGTTCACTAAAATCCAGGAAATATAGAAGTTCAGTATTGGAATTCTTTCCCATGCACTCCAGAAATGCTCCAAGTCCATTTTTATACTTCTTTGCACTGGTCTTTTACCAATATTGAAGTAGCAACTTGGAGTCACAGTGATGACCAGGCGTCTATTGTACTACAGACTCTATAGCCACCAATCAAAATTACAGTACTGCTCCCAAAACCAGTATGATCCAAGACTGAGACACAAACCAAAAGCAGGATGCAGACAACAGCGCAAGCAAGCAACACGACAGTTCTCTGTAGCATGAGTATAGCTTATCTACTGCCTGATATACTGTTACATACTAAGTGTTCAAATACAATTTTTTTTCTCCTCAGTTTAGAGATCCTCCCAGAGAATGCAGCACTTAGAAGACGTTTTTTTTCTACAATGCCAAAGGCCTTATCAGCTGCACTGGCTGTGCCAAGACAGCACAGCGTCTAACCATGACTTATGTCATTAGGGTTTAATATTTGAACTTGATATCATTTGATGGGATGCTATGAATGAGTAAAACTGGGGCTGTTTATTATGGCATCTTGAATCTTGATGCTACTATATATAGATGCCATTAAAGACTAAAAGAGAAAAACAATTCCAACAATGTATTCAGTAAGTAAAGTCACACAGAGGCCCACTGAAAAGAAAAGCATCACTAACAAAATTACTTCAATAAAAAAAAAAAATTAAATACAAATCTAAAAGTGTGGATTCCTACCAAAGATTCTTGCTTATAGGCCTCAGATTTACATGGATTCCTTGAGTATCTCTGCCTTTAGGTGCAGTATCTTTAGGCTCTACCTGCTGGGTTCTCTGATACAAGCTCAGCCTATAGATCACAGCAGCTTTTTGGTCTCCACTGACTCAAGAGGCTTAAAAACAAGATACACTGGAAAAGAAAAATCTTCTTCAAGGGAGCCAGGCAACTAGCAGTGAATATCATCTCTGAGATGATTTTTTTTCAGTCCTGAATGTAAGTGCCAGGTTGCCCTCAATGCAAGACCAGGGACCATGAAACTCATCTTCTTCCCTCTGTATAGCATGCTCCATCTTCAACATCTCTATCCTGTTCTCTTAGAGCTTTCTCCTTTCACCTGATCCTCACTCAAGAAGCATTAAGGTTAAACATTAACATTCATGAACTGAAGCTGCTGTTACCTTTGCCTTCTCTTCATATAGACTGTCCCATTCACATGTGAAATGCAGTTCAGATTAGATAGCTCAGAATAAATACCCATACATTTCCCCATGTCAGTGTAGGATAAGAAGCTCTCTCCTCCCCCACAACAAAGGTCATATATAATATTAAGAAACAGACATGCAAAGCAAAGCTTTTACAAAGCAATACAAAATAGCCTAAATCATACACATCTCATCCTTGATCTACAGTGTTATCCTGGTAGCTTCACATCCCATAGGCCATTCAAATCCTGTGCAGTAAAGATCACCTATCTGCCTTTGACCATCTGCTTCTGCCAACAGGTGGGAATTTGACAGCTGAATTGCCCATGGGATGTCATAGTTACAGATTTTTACTTTTTGGTTGATCACTCTAAAGTTCTGTAAAGCTGTAAAGCAAATTAGGCAGGCGTAGACAGTACACTTCCAATGGGTGGTCCACTTCCACCAGCATGTAGTCGAGTCATGCTAGAATCAACTACCAGTCTTGGAAACTGGTAGGATTTCACTGTTGTATTCAAGGAACCAGTTTAAGATCTGTAAGAGGAATTACTACATTTATGTTCCCTGATTTGGGGATTTAATTCCTACTTAGAGTTCAGGAGTGTCATGTGAACTAAAGGAACATTGCAGAGAGCACATGGAAGACTAATTAGTGAAAAAAAGGAAATGAGGTAGAGAGATAGAGGTTAAAAATACTAAACCAAACAATTCAAAAGGCTCTGTGTAATGGAGGCCTTTCTAAGTGACTCACCAAAAACTACGGACATGCAATGCAGATAGAAAAAAGAGAGAAAACTCTCAGATACTAAACTCAAGAGGACTTTGCTATACTTTTCAGCCCTCTTCCCCATCACTGCTGCTGTCCTGCCATACCCTCCTTGAAAATGCATCCCTGCTTTCTTCCTTTGCCAGACTTTCCATCCAACCTTTTTCCCCTTTGGTTTTTACCCTTTTCCTAGCTGCCCCATTTTCTTTCTTCCATTAGCCACACCAGTAGGCTTCTGTGCTGGGACCAAGTACTTCTAAAATCACGGTGCCAGCCCACTGCCTGCCATCCCATCCTGCCCATTCTTTGCTCTGCTACCACCATTTCTATAGGTACACGCTTATTTAAATCAAGGGACCTGTCCCTGGAGGACCCGTGCCAAAAATCATTTTCCCTGTCCATTCACCTGTGGTAAGTGTAACCCAGCTAATACCTGCCCGCTTTGCTAAAAAGAAAGCTTTCACCCATTTCTCTGGATTACATACTGTGACAACTTGTATCTCCAACATTTATGATTTACTACTTCTCTCTAAATGTCTTCCAAATGTGTCTGCTTGCAGACACAGTCTCTCAGATCAGGAGAATAAAGAGAGACTCTGGCACTGTCTTGTGCCACTCAGCATTTGCTTCCCTTTCTGTTGAGTGCTAATGACTACCCAAAAGCACAAGGCACCCACACTAAGGGGAAACAGGGACTGAATCCTGCAGGCTACAGGTCAAAATACACACAAAGAGAGGGCCTTGACTTAAAACCTCCCTAAAAGTCACACTCTTTCAGAGATGACACTCCTGAGAAAGTGTGCCATCTTGGTGTGGAGGGTCCCTACCCTAGAGGGTCCCTACCCTAGCCTGTAATCGTCACAGCTGGTACACTAAACACAATCTTTTGCTGCTTACGCAGGCTGAAGTTGTGGCCAGCACTATGTCAGCCAACTCCTTGCACTCCAAGGCTAACAGTCACATATGCAGCAAATGCTCCTGTGTTCAGCTCTGCCACTTGGGCTCTGAAGTGACATCGTTATTCATTTTCTCCTACTGTTTTAAAGAAAAATATACTACAAACAATACTTATTATTTTGCTTTTCAAACAGAGCATGAAGCAAAAGCTTAGCTAAAACAGCATAAATTTTCTTGGAGACTGGAGCAAGAAGATAAGCACTACAGTACTTGATTAGGTGTTTTCACTGCTCAAATGAGAGACATAGATCTCCTGAATCAAAAGATACTCAGCTCTAATGTTACAGTTGAGAGGGAAAAGTGGTTAACTCCATTGTAGAATTGCAGTTATTTACTGGTAGCCATCAATAATCCATAAACTCTCTACTAGGTCTTTTGTTTCCTACTTATCTATGAAATGTGTAAATCATATTTTATGGTGTTTTGTTTTGTTTCGTTTTAACCAGATTTAAGGAAGGTTTTTAAACTTTTAGGTTGCAATCATCCAAAACTAAACAAATAGGAACACACATAGCTATTGTGCCAGAGCTCAAACTGGTTTATGTGTGAATCAATGCCAGCTCTTAGATTACATTGAAATTACATGGGGCCTTAAGTGAAATGCTTTTAATAGTATTTGGAGAATGTTTCCCTTGTCTCTACCCATGAAACTTTACTCTAAGGGAAGCATGTAGATCTCACTACTTATTCATTTCTCTCTGAAGCTCTACAAACACAGTGCTATTAATTCAATAACCTAGTGAAAGCAAAGGAAGAACTTTTAGTAACTGGGTTCGTGTTATGTAAGTGTGATCTCTATGGTACAAGGCAAGTGTTTGGCGAGTGCTAAGAAGCTTGAGTTTGTAGTTTCGAATTATAACAATCTGACACTGTCTGTTTGGCGGTGACTGGGTCTGGGAAAAGCAGTTTAATGGAGTCAAAGTGGTGCCTTCAGCAATTCTGGGGAGGCACAGAAGTGTTTCTATTCTGTCTTTAAACAGTGAGCAACAAACACTGTAGCCTAAAGAAGATGGGGAATCCTTCAGGAAACCATGATCACATCAGATCCACACTGCAAAATCTAGAAAGAGAATTACATCAGCAAGGGGAAACAATCAAGAGTATGTAAAGCAAAAAGCAAGTAAAATCATGGTGCCAAATTTCTGTTTCCACACCTCCTCACTACTCCTTTTGAGTTCCCTCAGGCTGCAGAACAGGATACATCACTCTGAAATGAACATGCCTGCCCCACCAATGGTACTGCAAGCTCTAATACTCCCTGTAAAAGCAGAACTCAGATTTTCTCCTTTAAAACACTTCACCTTCCAGATATTGAGCCAAATGAAACTCTCTGTTAGCAATTGCCACCACAGAACCTATGCAAGACAAGGGAGCCAGATATGGTTCAGCAAAATTTACTGTGGAAAATAAGAGGGAGGATGTTGTCAAAAGACACATTTTCAACAAAATTTTACTCAGACTGTGTGGTCAGCAACTGCTTCACCCACATACACAGACCTGCACTCACACAGGTCGTCTCGTCCTTGGGAGGAAACTATAAATAGAGATGCAAAGCACAGTATGAAGAACCCCAGTCTAACTATAGGCTCTGTAAGGCCATGTGTGATTTGCCAAAGAAAAGTTCCTGCACAGTGCAGAGGCAGATGTTGCAGGCAGCATTTACTTGGAGGGCTCCCTTTTTCTGCAACTATCCAACCCTTTAAAGTGTGCAAGGACTTGGCTCAGGAACAGTTCCTTTTAGCTTTCCCTGCTGTTACTCTACTCACTCCAGAACACTTCACTCCTCTTCCCAGCAGAGCTGCTACTGAGCTTCCCTCTTCCCCTCACTAGGGATTTTATCAGTGTTCTCCCACACTGTTACCTAATCTTCTGAACTTCCTTCTCCTATGCAGGGAAATGCTGTGATAAGTAGTAGATAGTTCTTTCATCTGCTTGTACTCCCAGTTTTCCAGTATCCCTGTTCTGATGGCAGTAAGAAAGCACAGACAGGTACACAACAGCAAAGACAGTATTTAAAAATGAAAACACATCACTGATAATGTGGCAAGACACAGGGGAAACACATCAAAAAACCTTCACGTCTTCCTGAAACAGACCCGGGTTACAATGCCATCTGAAGAGACTAAACCACAAAAGTATACAGAATATCAGTGAGACCCTACGATGCTGCAGAAAAGATAATTAGGAGATTGTCAGATGAAAGGTATCATAGAGTAATGGTTCCCGCTGCTGGCAGAATACAATTCTCAAAAATAAATGTAGTCAAAACTGTGCATTATTTTCAATGCAGGAGACACTGATCTCATGGCAGAAATCTATTTTTATGTTACCTCTGATATGCTTAATGATTCATAAAACAAGAATGTTTTCTATGAGAAAGATTTCTCAAGCAACCAGTTAACTGACATGAATATAACTAAATTTAAATATGGCTTTTTGTTCTGTTTTGTTTAATAGTCAAATAGAAACCCCTTAGAATACAGCCTGCTGACAAATAACCTGAGCCAAGATGGACCTTCCCTCCAACTATACTGATAGTTTAGCCACCTCTGAATGGCTTTATCCCATGGAAGTACTTGGAAGAAGGGCTTAGAGGTAATAGCTGTGAATGGGATCCTGGGCAGGTATTAAAATCCAGAAAATCCATCCACAATTTGCTACTGTAGCTATTGTTGAAAGCCATGGACACAAGCGGAGCGATGTTGAGGATCTGACATTCACACTATACACGTTTGGGGGCGTTGCTTCAGACTAGTTCTGGTTTGGTCCTATTCAATGAATGCTTGTTGGCAAGTGAAATACATTCATTTGTTAATAAAGTGCATCTTACAGTCAATCAGGAAATCCAGCTTCATCCAAAATGATATCCAATCTGTGAGCTTCAAGCCTGCTCAGTGATACAAACCAAGCGACTTCAAGGTTCACTTCAAAAGGATATTACGGATTAAAAGCTTCTCAGCTGAGTACATCTGGAAGAAATTTCTCTTTTTGCTCCTTATAATTCAGTTTCTCCTCTCTAACATACTTGACAACTTTTGTTTTACATTTGTGGATCCACAGAACTGCAGAACTTTCACTGAAGTTGCAAGTTCAGGCTTTTCTTAGACTGTGTCTTGGCTGAGCAGCCATGGTGCCCTGCAAGGTCCTGGTTTCCTATTCATTAAGTCTAAGAACATTTCCTCTAACACAAGTGCAAGGCAGGGGTTGTTTGTTGGCTTTTTTTTCATTTTGTTTTGTTTTATAATATAATCTTGCCTTATTCAGGAAAGTTTGTTATAATACTGCACTTAGGATGTGGTTGTCTCTGGACTCCAATCCAATATGAATTTGCATATGAAAAGGTTGACAAGAGGAAATTCAATACAAGGATAAGGCAGATCCTCCCAGTATCTATAACATATCTGAGAAAAATAAAC